ATCTTAAGGTGACGTCACCGTGTTCAGTGAGCTGCCGGCGTCTGTGTACAATGGAGCAGGCTGTTTGTTATTTGCTGTGCACGCTATTCATGCTAGTGTTGGCTCAGACACTATTAATTGTGAGTGGAATATACTATGTTTTTATGACACACATTTTTGATACAGTGTTACGCTATGAGTCTTTCCTCTCTTACTTCCTGAGTTCATTCTGAGAAGAATCTAGTGCCATTTGAATTATCCCACATATGCTGGTTATCCATCTGCAGATTGTTACTCCCAGAGCAGAAGCGTTTGTGCTGGTTTATAATTTGACCAGCATATTGCTCTGGTGAGTTTACCCAATCTATTTGGTGGTGGATTCGTGCATGGTGATCTGTGTGTTTTTTTTCACATGAAGTTTGAACATTGAAGAAAAGAGCACTTATATATATTTTTATCACGGTGTTTGGTCACTTTATATTTATATTTACATTTTTGACTTATTGAATTTGTTAGAAAAGGACACCTTTTTCTGGATATAATTTATTTCTTGAGATAGATATGTAATATTGATTCATATACACTTTTGTTTAAGTATTTTATTTATATTTGTATCAGCACTTTGAGATTATACTAAGGAGGAGCGCCACCTTTTTTGCTTTCTATGTACTTCGGTTTACGAACGCCTCGGTTAACGAATTCTTCGGTTTACGACCGAAAATCCATTAAAATAATGCCTCGGTTTAGAATTTTTCTCAACGGAGGCTGGGAAGACTAATTTGAGATTAAGGGACTATGTCCAGATCAATGTGGGAAACTTGGAGCTCTCTGCAAATCATAATATTAATATTATTATTATACAGTATTTATATAGCGCCAAAAGGTTTGCTCAGCGCTGTGTACATTATAGTGGGGGACAGTACATGAGACAATACAGTAACAATACAATACACAAGGGGTTCGAGGGCCCTGCTCCTTGGAGCTTACAATCTAGGAGGGAGGGGATAGTGGTACAGGAGGAAATGGCTGTGGGGGATGGAGTGGTAGGAGGAGTGGAGGAGATTGGCTGTTAGGTGAGGGCAGGGTAGGCTTCCCTGAAGAGATGGGCTTTCAGGGTGCGCCTAAAGGTGAGGAGGGTAGATGACAGTCTGATGAATTAGGGTAGTGAGTTCCAGAGGATGGGGGAAGACCTGGAGAAGTCCTGGAGTCGAGCATGGGAGAAGGAGACCAGGGAACTGGAGAGTAGGAGGTCTTGTGAGGAGCGAAGAGTACGTGTTGGGTGGTATTTGGATATCAGCTCGGTGAGATAGTTTGAGGCAGTATTATGAATAGCTTTGTACGTCAGTGTTAGTAGTTTGAATTTTATGCGTTGGGCAATCGGAAGCCAGTGAAGGGAATGACAGAAGGGGGTGGCGGATACGGAGCGGTTAGTAAGGTGGATGAGTCTGGCCGCTGAGTTCAGGATAGACTAAAGTGGGGGAGAGTGTGTGATGAGGTAAGCTGGTGAGGAGGGAGTTGCATTAGTCGAGTCATGAGATAATAAGGGAGTGAATGAGTTGGTTAGTAGTGTCTGGGGTTAGGAACGAATGTATTTTGGAGATGTTGCGGAGGTGGAGCCTGCATGAATTTGCCAGCGATTGGACATGGGGCTGGAAGGATAGATTGGAGTCTAGAGTGACACCTAGATCTTTTGCTTACGGGGTAGGACTGATGGTGGCGTTATTGGTCGCGATGGAGAGGATGGGTGGGGGGCGCGGGCTCTGGGGAAAACTAGGAGCTTGGTTTTGGAAAGGTTTAATTTGAGGAAGTGGAGTGACATCCAGTCTGATATGTCGTTCAGTAGGCAGGTGATTCGAGACTGAAGGGGTGAGGCGAGGGGTAGAGAGGTAGATTTGAGTGTCATCAGCGTAGAGGGTGGTAGTTGAAGCCGTGGGAGTGTATCAGTTGGCCAAGGGAGGAGGTGTAGATGGAGAAGACAAGGGGCCCAAGGACAGAGCCTTGGGGGACCCCAACAGAGAGGGGGAGAGAGGGGGAGGTGGCAGCGTTATAGGTAACACTGAAGGAGCGCTGGGATAGGTAGGAGGAGAGCCAGGAGAGAGCGGAGTCTCTGATGCCAAGGGAGTATAGTTTTTTTTTAAGGAGGAGGGGGTGGTCAACTGTGTCGAAGGCCACGGAGAGGTCGAGGAGTAGGAGGACTGAGTAGTGGCCATTAGCTTTGGTAGTTAGCAGGTCGTTGGTGAGTTTGAGTAGGGCGGTTTCGGTGGAGTGTAGGGGACAGAAGCCAGACTGTAGGGGGTCAAGGAGGTTGTTGTCATTGAGGTGGGAGCTTAGGCGATTATAGACTAAGCGCTTAAGGAGTTTGGATGTAAATGGCAGCAGGGAGATGGGTCTAAGGTTGTTCAGGTCGGCGGGGTCCAGGGAGGGTTTTTTTGAGTATAGGGGTGATGTGCACGTGCTTTAGGGGGGAGGGGAATGCACCAGTAGAGAGGGAGAGATTGAAGATGGGTGAGGGAGCGTAGGATGGAGGAGAAGGGTGACCGTAGGAGTTGTGTGGGGACAGGGTCAAGGGGGCAGGTGGTGAGGCGGCCTTCGGAGAAGACCTTAGTGACCTCTTCAGTGGTAGCAAGGTCGAAGGAGTGGAGTGTTGGGGGGGTTTTAGTGTGCGGGATGTTAGGTGGGGTGGGGGTCTGGGCAGTTGCAAGGTCAGAAGGGGGGAGTGTTGAGGGGGTTATCATGGGAGGGAGGCTAGGTGGGGTGGAAGTCTGAGCATTGGCGATGTCCCTATGTATTGCGTCGATCTTGGTTTGGAAGTGGTTAGCAATCTCGTGGGCGGTGAGTGAGGTATTGGGTGGAGGTGGGGGGGAGAGAGTAGGGAGTTAAAGGTGAAGAAGAGCCAGCGAGGACTGGAGGAGAGGGTATTGATGAGGGTTATGAAGTAGGCTTGTTTGGCAGCATGGAGGGAGGAGGTGTAGGTGAGGAAGGCAGATTTGTATAGGGTGATCTTGTTTTGCGCCATAATCGCTCCAGCGCACGACTGCGTCGTTTCAGATTCTTGGTGTGGTCATTCTGTCAGGGTTGAAGCAGTCGGGGTCTAATGCTACGTGTGGTTAGGGGTTGTCAGGAATGGACTTGCCAGTAATGGTGGGACTCACCTGCCTTGTGGGCTGCAGTACCAGGGCTGGCCAGCGGGTGCTCCCGGCAATCAGAGACTCAACCCTGCAGCCAGCCAAACACCTGAAGCTGATCATGCAGGTGTATTTAAGGGATGGCCAGACCTGCAGTCTCTGCCTTGGTGTGTGTTTTTCCTGGGCCCTGTATCTTGTTACCTGCATCCCTGTTCCTGTTCCTGTTCCTGTCCCTGTCTGACTGATTCGTTGCTGACCCTGCCTGATCCGGACCTCTGCTGACTTCTCCTGTTTCATCCCTGGCTTGTGACCCCGACCATTCTCTGCCTGACCCCCTGTACCTACCTGCCCGATTGTTATTGACCCGGCCTGCCTGACGACGCTTGCATTGTATGTACTGTTATCTGTGGGTGGTTTGGTTTGGTTCGTTTGCACTGTGTTATGTTTTAGTATTGCACTGTGTTTATGTTTGTATTGTTAGTCTGTAATAAATTATATTGTTTATAACTTATCTGAAGCCTGCGTTTCCCTGCGTCAGTCACATACCTCTGGTCACACCCCAGAGCCCTGACATTACACCAAGGCCAATCCTGACCAGAAGTGGCTGCACAGGGAAGCCATCTTGGCTTGTTGCTGGGAAGGATGGATCTGGATGAGGTTGTGTATTTATCTCTGCTAGTGTTTGATGACAGAGAATATGCTTATCAGACTCTGAAGGAGTATACCTGGGATCAAGTACTAGAGTGTATAAGGATCGCTCATGTTCTAGTAGATCAGGGCACAGAATTCTCTGAGGTACAGCCATTGATTCAGGTTTGTGCTGAGTTGGTTTCATCTGGTACCCCCGAATGCAGGGATGAATTTTTGCCGCCATTTAGTGCCGACCAGGTAGAGTCCCTGGTATGGTTATTAGAGGATGATGTGGATTACTTTCTGGAGCATTATTCTGCATGTTCACCACAGATACTAAGAGATTGTATAAACGCAGTGCAGTCATTGACCAGACAGGCTTTGTGTAAACTGAGCTTTGTTCAACCCATACTGCAGACATGGTCAGACTTGTTGCACCCAGCCTCAGTCAGCTTACAACATCATTCCTCCACTCAAGGCACTCTTCCTGCATCCCCGACAGCACCCCCAGTGACTGCCCAGTATACTCTAACTACCACATACCAGTCCTCTGCTCCCACTGGCTGCACCTATCCTTTCTTTAACCCTGTAAAGAAGTCCTCTGTAGCAACTGCTCCCTCCTCTGTTCCATCTTCCAGCTCTTCTCTGTCCTCAGCTGCTCCATTCGTTTGCAGACCTGCGTTTACTTGCAGTGCCCCAGTAGTTAAAACCAGGAAAAAACGGAAATTCTTTCCAACCAGTACCATCCTGCCGGTATCCAAACCAGTGAGCCTGCCGTCTGAGAACCTGCCTTCCGTGGTTCAGCCTGGTGCCTCGGCACCCGCACTTCAGCCTGATGTCTGTACCCAGCCTGATGTCTGTATCCAGCCTGATGAACTGATCCAGCCCGATGATCCTATCACGCCTGATGACCCAGTGCCCGCTGTCGAGCCAGACGATCCAATGCCTGATGACCCAGTGCCCGCTGTCATGCCTGGTGACCCGATGCCTGCTGTCGAGCCAGACGATCCAGCGGCAGATGACCCGGTGCCCGCTGTCGATCCAGACGATCCGGTACCTGATGACCCAGTGCCTGCTGTCATGCCTGGTGACCCGATGCCCGCTGTCGTGCCAATTGACTCAGAGCCCACTGTCGTGCCTGGTGACTCGGTGCCCACTGCCTTGCCAGATGACGCGGTGCCCGCTGTCGAGCCAAATGACCTGATGCCTGGTGACCCGATGCCCGCTGTCCAGCCAGACGATCCAATGTCTGACCCAGTGCCCGCGGTCATGCCAGTTGACTCGGAGCCCACTGTCGTGCCTGGTGACTCGGTGCCCACTGCCTTGCCAGATGACGCGGTGCCCACTGGCGAGCCAAATGACCTGATGCCTGGTGACCCGATGCCCGTTGTCGTGCCTGATGACCCGGTGCCCGCCGCTCCGCCTGGGGGCCCGGTGTCTGCCGCCCCTCCTGGGGGCCCGGTGCCTGCCGCCCCGCCTGAGGGCCCGGCGCCCGCCGCTCCGCCTGGGGGCCCGGCGCCCATTGCCCTGCCTGGGTGCCCGATGCCTGTCGCTCTGCCTGGGGGCCCGATGCCCATCGCCCCGCCTGGGGGCCCGATGCCTGTCGCCCTGCCTGGGGGCCCGATGCCTGTCGCCCCACCTGGGGGCCCGATGCCCGCCGCTCCGCCTGGGGGCCCGGCGCCCGTCACCCTGCCTGGGGGCCCGATGCCCGTCGCCCCGCCTGGGGGCCCGGTGCCCGTCGCCCCTCCTGGGGGCCCGGTGCCCGCCGCCCCACCTGGGGGCCCAGCGCCCGCCGCCCCGCCTGTGGGCCCGGTGCCCGCCGCCCCACCTGGGGCCCCGGTGCCCGTCGCCCCACCTGGGGGCCCGGTGCCCGTCGCCCCTCCTGGGGGCCCGGTGCCCGCCGCCCCACCTGGGGGCCCAGCGCCCGCCGCCCCGCCTGGTGGCCCGGTGCCCGCTGCTCCGCCGGGGAGCCCGGCGCCCGCCGCTCCGCCTGGGGGCCCGGCGCCCGCTGCTCCGCCTGGTGGCCCGGTGCCTGCTGCTCCGCCTGGTGATCCGGTGTCCAGCTCGATGTGCCTCTGCCCGGAGTCCAGCTCGATGTGCCTCTGCCCGGAGTCCTGCCCGGAGTCCAGCTCGATGTGCCTCTGCCCGGAGTCCTGCCCAATGTGCCGCTGCCCGGAGTCCTGCCCGATATGCCTCTGCCCGGTGTGCCGCTGCCCGGAGTCCTGCCCGGTGTGCCGCTGCCCGGAGTCCAGCCCGATGTGCCGCTGCCCGGAGTCCTGCCCGATGTGCCAGTCTTTGATATCCCGCCAGTTACCAGACCCGGGCGGTGGAACATTTTGCCCAGCTAGGACTGTTTGGAGCGTTCTGAGGCCGCTCCTTGAAGGGGGGGTACTGTCAGGAATGGACTTGCCAGTAATGGTGGGACTCACCTGCCTTGTGGGCTGCAGTACCAGGGCTGGCCAGCGGGTGCTCCCGGCAATCAGAGACTCAACCCTGCAGCCAGCCAAACACCTGAAGCTGATCATGCAGGTGTATTTAAGGGATGGCCAGACCTGCAGTCTCTGCCTTGGTGTGTGTTTTTCCTGGGCCCTGTATCTTGTTACCTGCATCCCTGTTCCTGTTCCTGTCCCTGTCCCTGTCTGACTGATTCGTTGCTGACCCTGCCTGATCCGGACCTCTGCTGACTTCTCCTGTTTCATCCCTGGCTTGTGACCCCGACCATTCTCTGCCTGACCCCCTGTACCTACCTGCCCGATTGTTATTGACCCGACCTGCCTGACGACGCTTGCATTGTATGTACTGTTATCTGTGGGTGGTTTGGTTCGTTTGCACTGTGTTATGTTTTAGTATTGCACTGCGTTTATGTTTGTATTGTTAGTCTTTAATAAATTATATTGTTTATAACTTATCTGAAGCCTACGTTTCCCTGCGTCAGTCACATACCTCTGGTCACACCCCGGAGCCCTGACAGGGGTGCTAAGGAGTCTAGGGCAGCTGACAGCGAGTTGTTATAAGCAGTAGTGGCCTGGTCAGGGCAGGACAGTGGAAGGATACTGTCCTAAAGTTGGTCAGAGTGGAGAGGGGCAGGGTTCAGGTTGCGGAGGTTACGGCTGGTGATGGTTTGACGTTTTGGGGGGGGAGGTGTTTGAGGATGGGGAGATGGAGAACGTTATGAGGTTGTGGTCAGAGAGGGACAGGGGTGTTTGTGAGGTTGTGGGGAGTGCAGAGATGAGAGAAAACAAGGTCCAGGGTGTTCCCGTCGGAGTGGGTGGAGGACTGTGTACACTGTGTGAGTGCAAAAGAAGAGGTTAGGTGGAGGACTAGGGATGTAGCCAGGTTATTGACGTTGATAGGGATATTGAAGTCTCCAAGGATGATGGTGGGTAGCTCTGAGGAGAGGAAGAAGGGTAACCAGGCGGAGAAATCGTCAAAGAAGCGGGATACGGATCCAGGAGGCCGGTAGATTACTCAGATCCTCAGAGGGGTAGGAGAGCATAGCTGGATGCAGTGGGCCTCAAAGGAGGAGAAGGAAAGGGGGGGTTTGGGAGGACCTGGAAGGTGCTCCGGGGTGACAAGAGCATGCCGACCCCACCACCTCTATGACCGCTTGGTCTGGGTGAAGGGGTCCAGACGAGACCTCCATAGGAGAGTGCCACAGGGGAGGTAGAGTCAGTGGCTTGGATCCAGGTTTCGGTGACCGCTAGGAGGTTGAGGGAGTGGGAGATAAAAAGGTCATGGATGGTGGTGAGCTTGTTGCAAACCCAATCGGGCGTTCAGGAGTTCACAGGAGAATGAAGGGGTGGTTGTGGGGAGCAGGGGGACAGGTATTAGGTTGAAGGAGTTGTGGCAGTTTGTGGAAGTAGGAGGGTGCCAAGTGGGTGAGTGGGGTGGTGAGGGGCCAGGGTTCTCCAGATTGTTGATGTATGCCAGGAAAGTGAAAAAGATCACAAGCTTATCCAATTTATGGAAGAGATAATGGCAGAGAAAGAAAATAAAACTATTATTTTTGTCGAACCCAAACGCCGGTGTGATGACTTAACACGCATTGGATTTCAATGCAGTTTACGAATTGTTTTTTAATCATGTCCCTGTACAGTACTATGCCTTTATAAGGAGTTTTGAAAAGATAAGACTTTTTTTACTTTCTTCTGACCTCTGGAACGGATGAATTGGTTTTCAATGTATTTACAAAAATTTTTTTTTGTCATGTCCCTGTACAGTATTAATGCCTTTAAAGTGCACTTTATAAAGCGTTTTGAACAGATAGACTTTTTTTTTACTTTTTTCTGACCTCCAGAACAGATTAATTGGTTTTCAGTGCATTGACAAATTAATTTTTAATCATGTCCCTGTACAGTTTTCATGCCTTTAAAGCACACTTTATAAAGAGTTTTGAACAGATAAAAGACTTTTTTAAAAAAAATTTCTGACCTCCGGAATGGATTTATTGGTTATCAATGCATTCCTATAGGAAACCGCGTTTCATTTTACAATTTTTTTGCAATATAAAAAGTCCTGCAGAATGAATTCAATTCGTAAACTGAGGTACGCTTGTAGTTCATTTGGACCAGCTTGGTACAAACAAATTATTTAAAGTCACAAGAAAGCTGGAGTTAGGCTTTGAAAATTATTTTTCACCTGACCTTTGTTAATAGGAAATATCACGGATGGACTTACTGCACAGGTGGAAACCTATCACGGTACGGCGCTTGAATTCACTGAGCTCCTGAGAGCGACTTATTATTTCACAAATGTCTGTAGAAACAGTCCGCATGCTTAGGTGCTTTATTTTATACACCTGTGGCCATGGAGGGGATTAGAACATCCAATTATTTGGAGGGGTGTCCCAATACTTTTGGCAATATAGTGTAGTTTGTTTGGACTAAGCTGGAGGGTGGATAACATTATGATCTCCACTTCAGTCAATATGAGGAAGCCTTATAATCATTGATGAAATTCAGTGCTTCATGTGAATGGCTAAGAAGCCCTCAGCCTGACTTGATTTTGTATCAGGAGTGGAACATACATCCCCCATTCTGCTGCTGGAACACAGCACTGTATACTGTATACAGATGATAATACAGACAGGGAATGATTTACTAAAACTGGAGAGTGCAAAATCTAGTGCAGTTGTGTGTAGTAGCCAATCAACTTCTAACTTCAGCTTGTTCAATTAAGCTTTGACAAAAAAAGCTGGAAGCTGATTGGTTTCTATGCAGAGCTCCACCATATTCTGCACTCTCCAGTTTTAGTAAATCAACCCCAGAGTTTATATATAGTGCTCCCTGTGGGCGCACCTGTTAGCAAAGTACTGTAAATAGTTCATTTGGACAAGCTTGGTACAAACAAATTATTTAAAGTCACAGGAAAGCTGGAGTAAGGCTTTGAAAATGATTTTTCACCTGACCTTTGTTAGCCGCAATATATATAGTATGCTAACAACAGTGATATGCTTGTCTTGCTTAGTCCCTTTGTGTAATAAGACTACCTTCATCAGCCTTAAACTCTACTATATATATGATTTTCACTGTCTGTAAAGTGCTCAGTTGTCAGTTTTGTTTTCTTTTATTTTTAATTAAATTTGATGTACAGTTGCAAGAAAAAGTATGTGAACCCCTTGAGATTACGTGGAGTTTTGCATGAATTGGGCATAAAATGTGCTCTGAACGTCATCTAAGTCACAACAATAGAAGAACACAGTCTGCTGAACATAATACTACACAAACATTAGATGTTGTCATGGTTTAATTGCACATAACATGTAAACATTCACAGTGCAGGGAGGAAAAAGTATGTGAGGCCCTAGCTTAATGACTTCTCCCAGAGCTAATTGGAGCCAGGAGTGAGCCAACCTTGACTCCAATCAGTGTGATGATATTGGATGTGTTGCTGACAGCTGTCCTGCCTTAAAAAAAAACACACACCTGTTTTGGGTTTACTGGTTTCAAGAAGCACTGTCTGATGTGAACCGTGCCTCACAGAAAAGAGCTCTCAGAAGACCTACGATCAAGAATTGTTGACTTGCATGAAGCTGGAAAGGGTTACAAAAGTATCTCCAAAAGCCTTGATGTTCATGTGTCCACGGTAAGACAGACTGTCTACAAATGGAGAAAGTTTAGCACTGTTGCTACTCTCCTTAGATGTGGTCGTCCTGTAAAAATGACTGCAAGAGCACAGCACAGAATGCTGCATGAGGTAAAGAAGAATCCCAGAGTGTCAGCTAAAGACCTACAGAAATCTCTGGCACATGCTAACATTTTTGTTGACACATCTACAATAAGGAAAACATTAAACAAGAATGGAGTACATGGGAGGACACCACGGAGAAAGCCATTGCTGTCCAAAAAGAATATTGCAGCACGTTTGAAGTTTGCAAAAGAGTACCTGGATGTTCCACAGCACTACTGGCAAAATATATTGTGGACAGATGAAACCAAGATTGAGTTGTTTGGGAAGAACACACAACACTATGTGTAGAGAAAAAAAGGCCCAGCACACCAACATCAAAACCTCATCCCCACTGTAAAACATGGCGGAGGGAGCATCATGGTTTGGGGCTGCTTTGTTGCCTCAGGGCCTGGACGGATTGTTGTCATTGATGGGAAAATGAATTCCAGAGTTTATCAAGACATTTTGCAGGAAAACGTACGACCATCTGTCCGCCAACTGAAGCCCCGCAGAGGATGGGTGATGCAACAGGACAATGACCCAAAGCATACAAGTAATTCAACAAAACAATGGCTGCAACAGCACAGAATACGCCTTCTGGAGTGGCCCAGTCAGAGCCTCACCTCAACCCGATTGAAATGCTGTGGCATGACCTTAAGAGAGCGATTCACACCAGACATCCCAAGAATATTGCTACACTGAAACAGTTTTGTGAAGAGGAGTGGTCCAAAATGACTCCAGATCGTTGTGCAGGTCTGATCTGCAACTACAGGAAACGTTTGGTTGAGGTTATTGCTGCCAAAGGAGGGTCAACCAGTTATTAAGTCCAAAGG